CAAATACCTTCTTGTCGTTGGCATTCGCGGTGAGAGACACGGCGGGGGGACGAGGACCGCCTGGGGGTTACGACGGGTATGTCGGACCGTAGGTGGGCTTCTTCGTCTTCTACTTCCTCAACGGATACCTCGGGGTCTTGTACTCGTGCGCGGCAGTTGGTCGCCGGGCCGGTCGGAAGGCCCCTCGGCGGCATTTGGTCACCTTCCGACGAGTTGGTAGAGGAGGGCGCTCTGCCCTTTCTTCGGCCCTGGCCTCGGGCGCTTGTGCTCGGCGTTGTAACCTCTACGGTTGTCCTAGACTTACTGCTCTTCCTAGACCCGGCGGTACTTCGGGTTGCCCTTCGCGGGGGCACACATATTGGCTCCCCTGAGGGGTCTGCACCTGTTTGCCGTCGGGTGTCCCTTGGCTACTAAGGGCAGGTGGTCCCCCGGGTTCACGACCTCAGCTGCTTTTCCGACGCTTCCTACTGGAACAGACGCCTCCACAGACGAAGACGCAGGCCCAGCAGGCTGGGCTGACGACCTTTCTCCCTCTCCGGGCTGACCTCCCCTCGTCAAGGGTGCAGTCGAGACACGACCTAGGGGGCTCTGTCCTCGAGGGACTTTCCCTGTGCGGTCGGCCGGGGGTTCCTGAGCTGGGACGGCCCCTAGGGGTTCTTTTCCAGACGCAGACCGCGTCAGGAGGCGGGAATCCCCTCCTACGCCGTCTGGCTTTTGCGATTCCGATTCCTTAGTTTTCTCTACTGGTAACGCGGCGAAAATGTTCTGATATTGCTCAAACGGAGTACCTACATACGTAGTATAAGTCCAACTAGTATTACAGGGGTGCGCACCAAATGAAACTAAGTCCTTTGCCGACGCCGTCGAATCGCTTATTTCGACGCCGGCTGGTCTTTTGACGACTTATCGTCCTTGACCTCCTCGATCTTCGTCTCCTTCCCGTTCTCTTCTTTCACGGCTTCCTCAAGTAGTTGGACGGAGGCGGGCGACGTTGGGTTTTTTGCGTGGTGGGAGTTTGACGGGAAGCCACTTGGACTTGTCGTCAGGGCATTTGTGCTTGGGGTTCCACCCCGTGTTCCCACACTTAAAGCACCGCTTATCGGACCGCAGCTTGTCGATCTCCATTGGCTGCCCTGCTCCACCGTACGTAGTCCCCGTGGCGTCCTTCTTATCGCCACCGGATCCCTTCGATTGATTGCCTCGACCCGAACCGCCTTGGTTCGAGGAGGACTTACTGCCCAGTCCCTGGGCAACTCCGTATCGATAATTGGCGTCGATACGCAATACTCGTGCCTTCCATTGGGCATAGGTTGTGGGGCGCTCATTGTCCCCATGCATAACCGTATTGCGTACCGTTGGCCTGATTGCCGCTTCCACCGCTTCGAACATCTGCTTCTCATCTCCGAATTCTTCGCACTTATGTGCCAGCCGCTCGAATTTGGCAAAGAACTCGACTGCGGACTTGGAGTCCGACTGTCGGACTTTTTTCCATTCTGCCTTCCATATAGTCAACTCCGCTACTTCGCGGAACTCGCGCTTGAGATCCTCGGAGAATTCCGCCCAGGTGGGGAATCTCCAATGACCTTGCGGGTCCCGGTATCGGTAGTACTGGTCGACCCACCATTGTTGCGCGTCCCCTCGTAGATACCCTTGAGCGAATGTGATGCGATAGGGGTTGTGCCCCTGATCGTTCATGGAGTAATACATTGGGAACACCGCGAAGTAAACTTCGCAATGGTGTAGGAACCGCGTGATGTCCGAGAGAAACCCCGGTGAAATACTCCGGCTGGGTCACCAGCTTGGGTTTAACGTCATTCCACGGGTTATTGACGGCGCCCGGCGCGAGTTGCCAGGGGCGGAATTGGGTCTGGCGGGGATGGTACTGTGGTGGTACCGGCGGCTTTGGCGGTCGCGATACCGATCGTAAGTTTCGATTCTCCCCGGGGGAGGGTATCCTGCGGGGATCCGGATATGTTGATTGCTTTGGTGGGAACGGGGGTACCGTCGACCCCTTCCCCTTGTCCTGACGAGACGGCCCAGCGTCTGGGTCGTCCATGTCGTCGTCGTCTTCTCCTGCCCCCCCGAAGAAGCCTTCAGGGAAGAATCCTCCTACATCTGTAGGTGGCGGCATTGGTTGTGGTCGCCGATACGGTTCGCACCCCCGCTGGGGCGCGTCCGGGTTTACCATATTCCATACGATGGCCGCCCGGTGCCAATGTTTCTACTTCGAGTATGTTTTTCATGAGGTAGACGTCCCCCATGTTCTTTGCTGCTTGATAGTCGACCCCTGCGTCAGTGAATAACCACTGGGGGTCCTTTTCCATATGTTCCATGATGATCTCGTAAAGCCCGTGCCAGGGGAGGATATTAAAGATGTCAGGTCGCGGGGTCGGTCCCCGTACCATGACCTTGCGTTATCCGCCGCCATCACGGTCGGCTCGAGGGTCCGGTTGGGCGGACGACTCGGCATCCTTGGCCTCCTGCCTCTCTCGGGCGATTCGGTCAAGCTCCTTGTTTCGCCTCCACCTCCCGATGTCGGAGTCCTCATTGGAGATCTCCTCCTGATAGACTCTCCAGGCTCGAGCTCGGGCCTCGAGGTCGGCTCCTGCCCTCCGGGCGTATCCGGTGTAGCGAACGGCAGCGGCTCGTATCCGATTGTCGATTTCGGCGGGAGTGGCGTCGGGCTCAACGGGGAGGTCCCAAAATCCATTGGGCCCATAGAGGGCGTCCTCCTCGGCACGTCGGATGCGTGCATCGTGCGCTCGGCCTCGGTCCATTCTGGCCTGGACCTCTGGGGACTCCCTGGCAGCTCGAGTGAGTCGGAGGGACTCGACGTACGTGTGATAGAGGAGCGGCCAAGGACGCTGGGTCGCAGGGACGGGGTCGGCGAAGGCTCGCGATGAAACGGATGGTTCCCAGTCGGAGACTCCGGCGAGTCGCTCGGCGGCGGTAACTGTCCCAAGTTCCTCGGCGTCGAGGTCTGGGAACTCGCTCCAAAGCTCCCCACTCGTCGGCTCGATCGAGGGGACGGGGGAAGGGAGCGCTGGTGTCTCGGGCCCTTCAGGGATCGGGTCGGGGTCTCTCCTGGCTGACTCTCTGGCCACAGGAGCCTCTTCCCCGTCGTCGGCATAGACCCAACTGGTGTCGGGGTACCAGGCGACTGGGGGTCCTCTATCGGCTGGCCAGGCCCTTGGAAGAGGCTGTGGGTGAGCTGTACTGGTGGAAGCCGCGGAGGCTCCGAGGCCAAGCTCTCCGGAATCGCTGTCGAAGTCGTCTTTCTGCCTCTGTATAAATCTTCTGCGCTCTGCTCCGAGGTCGGAATCTCCCCACTGGGCTTCGACCCACTTTGTGGACGACTTTCCGGACCAGTTGTCTCCGGTATGGGTTGCATCCTCCTCCGTATTCGGGTAGAGGTCGTCGAGGATGTCGTCGAGGCGGGTTCTTTCCCACTCGGTGAGTTCGTCCCCTTCAAACTCGGTGTCAGAGCCTTCTTCGCCCGCGACCAGATGCCTGGTGCCTTGTCCTCGGCCTCTGTCGGGGCTTGACTCGCCCTCGACTGGAGACTGGTCGAAGAGACCTGGTAGGGGCGAGTCTCCTCTGTCGAGGAGTACGCTCCTGGTATCGGTGATGTCGACGGAGTCGGTTGACTCGTCGGTGGCGCTTCTGTAGGAGTCGGTGTTCGACTCTGAGGATCGCGAGCTGGGTCGCGACGATCCGTAGAGGGACTCTCCATAGAGAGAGTGTAGCTCTAGCCGAGGGGTTTCTGGAACTGGTAGGGTTTGTTGCGAAGCCGCGGGGATATCTATCACCTGCGGGGGATATGCGGGGGCGCTGGGAACGTAGTGGAAGGGAAGCTGAGGTCGAATCCTTCTCTGTTGTCGGCAGCAGCGGAGTGTGTAATACAAAGAAATGGACAAGAAAAAGGCGATAAAAGTTACGAAGATTGCAGGAATGGCGTCGGACCAGGGCATCCGTATAGGGATCTATCCTTTGCGCAGGTCGACGATTGACCATGCAAGCTGGTATACCGCAAGGATGGTGAGAACGATCAAGAGCGCGATGATCAGGCTGAGGTCGGTTTCGTAATTAGAACCGTTCATCAACAAGATCTCACACTCGTCTGAATCAGGGGAGCTCGTCACTATCAACAAGAGGATTGTTAATAGGGATGCGAGCTGGAGGGCGAGAACGAAGGGTTTCGTGTTGGGATACGTGGTTTCCTTAAACGAGACGGGGGTATAGTGCGTACAGGGCAGCTAACAGACCTGCTAGCACCACTGCCGATATTCCGAGTCCGATTAAGGCGAGGGTGAAGAATACAGTCACGAGGACTGCAAGGATAAGATCGTCGTAAAGGATGAATTCAACAATCAAGTCGATCACGAGCACAAGAAGGAGTAGTCGGAAGGGGATTACCCAAAGGACCACTGCAACGAGGAAGTGTATCGGGTGAATTTTGAATGTGAGTGCTTTTCCGTCGGTCCACTCGCTGTACGTTGACAAGCACCGGGTTGTCCACACGAACGTAGGCGATGACCTCTCTGGTCAAGCGGGGTAATTTCTCGTAAAAGAGTTGGGCAGCGCTCTTTCTCAGAAGTGACGCTGAGCAACGTAAGGCGAGCTTCGGCTAAATGTTAGCCACTAACTTTAATCGACTTAGATCGTACTAAGGTCGCTACTCGCACTTCGGTAGGCAACACTCAGCAAGTCAAAGGCGACGCGAGTCAATGGGACAGATAGTCACGAAACGGGGAGCTCTGAGTTAGGTAGATTAAACCTTAGCCGAAGCTGGGGTTTAGACCAGCTGAGGCTCTACTTAAATACACGTTGCGTAGGCTAAAGATAGTGCCGCAGCAGCGTCCGATCGAAATCGCAGCATAGGGTAAGCGTGAATACGTAAGAAAAGAAAAAGAGAAAGAAAAGGAGAGAAAAGAAAAGAATAACCGTAACACTTGCCCACAGGAGGTGGGAAGTCGCTTGTCTGGCAGCTGCCAGCATACATGGATCCTCCTCAGATGGTCACATACGTTGTGGTTCCAAATCGTGACCTTCTTCTTGATCACATGAAACACACAAGAGAGTTCAAAATGGAGACGTGCCAATGGTTGGCTAGCAAGCAGGACATTCACAATTCAAAAGTTGTATATCTTGCTTTAGAGAGCGCAGGCTCGGATTCATTTGAAGCGTATGTTTCTGTCTCCTGACTTGTTCTGCTGTGACTGACTGGAATGTTTCTCGCTAACCAACAGATACTGGACAAAGAATGAAAAATTCATCAGCCGCATTTGCTTCGATGAGATCCATCAGATGCTCTCTCATGCCGAGTTTCGTCCTGCCTTTAACAAGCTTCAAAGGCTTGCAAAGATGAGGGTGCCTCATATATATCTGACTGCATCATTACCTGTGCGTATGGAAGAACATCTCCTCCTGAAATGCGGGCTGCCATCAACCACTCCTATCATTCGAAGCCCAACCAACCGTACCAACATCAGTTACAACATCATCAGATGGGATAACCGAGTCACTACTGAGCTCCATCTGCTCACCAATCTCGTCAATCTGCTGACAGAGCATTTTCTGGAGGGGGGAGACATCGGCATCATCTTTGCTGAAAGCAAGCACAAAGTCAATCTCATCAGTAAAGCAATCACACACTGTAAGTCGCATGCAGACATGAACTTTAGGGAGCGTGCAGAGGACTTCAGAAACTGGAGCAAGGGGATCAGGAGATGGATAGTGGCCTCCACAACATTGATACATGGTATTGACCTCCCTAACGTTGGAGCTGTCATCTTTCTTGGGCCAGTGTTTGGACTTTTGAACATTGTGCAGGGTGGAGGACGCATACTGCGGAGCGGGAGGTTTGGACACTGCATAGTCCTTACAGAGAGCCGGACGGAGCTTATCCTGCTCACAGGACCAGAAGACCATGATTTTGACTGTGAATGGGAAGGGAGAAAATGGCTCAGGAACAATACGGTCTGCCGCAGGATAGAGCTGTCAAGGACTATGGACGGCAAGGTCAAGACATGCCATGATCTTCCAGGATGCTTCTTTTGCGACATCTGCAAACCAGATAGTGACCTGCTCACTTCGATTGATGCTATTATCAAAGATCCTGGTGTTCCTCAGGAGGGAGATACACCGTCCAGCAGCACTTCTTGTGCAGATGCTGGCAGTTCTGAAAACGATGAGGAGAATGACAGATGGGTACCTATCAGCTCACTCACAAACCGCACATCCACAACGGACCCTGACTGGCTTTCCAATGCTGATACCCCTTCGCAGGAATCTCACCCTGTCTCCTCATCAGCTGAGGTCTCTGCACCTCCTCCTCCTCCTCCGTCTGCTGCACCGAATGCGCTGTCACCTGCTTCCCGTAGGCCTGCCAAGGCATGTGCTGCTAATGTGATGACACAGTTCAGGCGGCAAGCAGTGCTGAACAATGCAAAGAAGGCACCCGTAACACTTCCAGGTGATGTGTCTACCTCAGTTGCATATGATGCAGCACTTGTGCAGGCGAATGAGCAAGTGAAACATGCAAAAGTGAAAATCTTATCAGAGGCCATCCAGAAGCTAGAAGGAAAATGTCCTATCTGTTGGGCATCGAAGAGTGAGATCTTCACTCTTGTACCGGGTGTCAAGCATACACCCTTTCTTGCATGCAGAGCAGGTCATTCTTATGTTCATAACGCCTTTGGATGGATAGACTTCAAAAAGCGGCTGAAATTCACCAAGTACCAATATTGCTATATGTGCGGTGTTCCTCAAAAGCCCTATCTTCCTGATGGGCATCCTACAGTTGGATGTACTCTTGAAGAACCAAACTGCCCCGTCCCAGACTTCATTGTACTCATCATATGGCACATCCGTCAATCTCCTGCAATCTGGTCACAAGCAATACGGTGTCCACGGTTTCTTGGATTGACTAAAGACATTGGTCTCACTGAATTTACGGCATGGTGCATGACCCTGAAGGACAATAGATCATTCCACAATGCTGTGGAACTGGTGATTTGGTTCCTGCAGGAGCGGGCTTCTGCAGACCGGCGCAGCCTGGAATTGAAACTGAAAAGATCTTTATAGTTATTAAGTTTTGTTGTGCACGTATCACTACTACTACTACTACTACTACTGGCTGTAAAAAAAAAAAACAATGCAACCGCAATTTCATGTTCAGGTTACTTGAATGTGCGCGATCCGCTTGCATTATACAAGCCTTGGCTCAAGTTAGTTTCAGGGCATCACCATAAATGAGACATACAACAGAAAAAAGGTGCTTCCAAATAACCGAGTGGTTGAAACAGCGATTGTTATTGAGGCTCACTTAGAGGTCGATGGTTCGATCCTGAGCCATGGTTGTCGGGGTCCGCCTTTAATGCCACATCACTCGGGAGTTGAAAACATGTGAAGGGATGGTGAATTTGTGCACTACGAACGGGGGTGCCGGAGAGCTGTTTAGTGTTAGAGACTCAAGGCGGAATGCTTTCTTTCTTACTTTTTTCTAATTTACCCTTGTTTAATTAGAGGCAAATGTGTCGGACCTGGGAGTTTTGGGCACTTGCCATGCATTGCTTACAATTTTAGGATGAGGTTTATACCTGGCTCTATATGATTAACTCACTTCTTATGGAAGAAAGTGAGTGATAAGGACTTATATTATCCAAGACAGCACGACACGACGACTCTGCTGAGTGTGACAGCACAGCCACACCGAATACGGCAAGTGGCCACCATTTAGCAGAGTCATCGTAGCGTCACACTCTTTTGAATAATATAAGTCCTTATCACTCACTTTCTTCCATAAGAAGTGAGTTAATCATATAGAGCCAGGTATAAACCTCATCCTAAAATTGTATTCTGTCCGACGTTCTGAAGGTAAGCGTCACTATTACGTCTGGTGCTTATCTATTTGCTGACTTTGTGACAGTTGTCTTTTTCTCCTCACTACCATGTCAATATTGATGACGACAGTGAGCACAACCTTTTCTTTTCCTTACCCTAGGATTTTACTCACTTTTCCTCTTTCAGACACGATCTGTGCCTGGTTTGAAGGAGGGCCTACCATTTGTGTTCTTCAAGGTACGCGTCATTTTTTAGGTTTATGCGTGGTTCTCATTCTTAATCCTATTAGGTCCAATACGCTTCAAGTTCGAACACCTCATTGGATGACGGTTAAGCGCTTAGCATTGGATATTTGAGGCGCAGAGGAGCTCGAGTCGAGTCGTAGCCGCGTGAGTATCAAATTTTTTCCTTTGGTTTTCTTTTACTCATCCTAGGGACTAGGCATTGTTTCAACTAAGACTGGCTGTCTTCTTACCAGACAGAACCATGCTAGGTCGAAGAGGAGTCTCGTTTGTCATTGATAGTGAGTTTTTTCTTCCTCTCTCGCTGTCTTCTGTTGCTTACTTGGGGCGCTTAGGCTCTAATACCTTGACCGTACTTCGGGACCAGCACTCGAATATCAACTACAAGGGCAGACGATTACTTCCGATGAAGGGCAGGCAGTGTTAGGAGGAGGCGGGATTCATATTGAGGCGATTGTTCCCTGCCGTGGTTCTTTTTGCTCATCCTCCGCACTAGACGTTGTACTCTCGATGATATATCCTTTCTCTGACCCTGTGCAGGCCTCCTCAAAGAACTCGTCAAAGCGAAATCAATGGTACGCGGTGTCATCATGTCCCGATGTTTTACACTAACAATTCCTTACAGCCCGGTATCCCGATTCACCTCGCACCCTGAGCCTCTCCGCAGAGCCGTCCCTCCTTTGTCTGACTCACTTTCTGCCTCGTCTCGTCATGTTTGAGTCATGTTAGTCCTTGTGAGTCATAATTCTAAGTATAGAGTCCTGTTTCCGTTCCAAAGCCCCCCCACGCTGTAATGGCCCCTTAGTCAATATCATCAAAGTCGACAAACACCTCTGGCAGCATGATTTCAGCTAGCTTAATCCTCTTCCAGCTCGTAGGGTAGGCGGTCTGTAGCAAGGATTGCCCGTAGTTGGAGTCGTCTTGCGTAACTCGATAGACATAAGTCAGGCTGTGGTCGATAGCGTACTTCTGGATATATTCCTTCCAACCGACTTCTGTGAGCACTTCGGCTGTCCTCTGTCTGATGCGGTCGAGGACATCCATAATTAAGTTTGAGCAGTCAGCCGTCCAACCATGCGAGTAAGGCGGGAAGTATTTTGTTAAAAGTTCGTCAGTGGGGATTAACGAACGAGGATATGCGTCAATCTGTTCCATGAATCCGTAGACTGCTCGTTCTTCTCCCATCGTTACCTGATCCTGAAGGAGACATTCAGAGTGCGTATCGTTGGGCAGATGTACTTGAACCTTGTAGAACGTATTGGCTACGATTGATGGTCCTTGCATCAATTTCTCGAGGATCCGTCGTCCTCCCAAAAGTTTAGCTAAGAACGCCAGCACCCCTCCCTTCATGATCAAAGCTCCAGCGTTTTCCCTGTCTAGAATCTCGTGTACGCTTCGTAAATATTGTTGATTAAGGTCAGCCAGCCCTCTGTAGTTGTTGATCTCTCGTTCACTCCATCCCGGCTGATGGGGGGGGGTAGCATGTGTTTCGTATAAAGGGGGAGTACGAGAATAAGTTTCGATGGAATACACGTAAGGAGTTGTCCGGTACAGCTACGGAAAATTGGAGGTTGTGTGCGACGCAGTGGTCTAGGATTCCGGCTGAACCTTTGAACCCTCGCGGACTGACATTGGCCATCGCCTTTAAAATGGCAGCCGCTCGCAAATGATGTCACACTCGCAAATGCAAAGGCAAATGCAAGCTCGCAAAGGTAGCTCGCAAAATTCTACGTGCCCCTCAGGTATAGCCCATTAACAAGCGGGTCTGATCACGAGAGTTCAAACTCTTCCTGGGACAATGAAGTGTCGGTCTGTAGGCATTCGCTGCTGTCTGTAGAGCTAGTTTTCAAGGAAGGGTTAGGAACCTGTAAGGCTGACGGGGAGAATTCTAACCTTGGTCCCTTTTCCTCCCACAGTATCTTTGTCGCTTTCTCCACCAGCCTCTTCGGGTTCTCTGGAGAGTAGGGAGACATGCGCCTACTGGTTCGACTAGGAGTCGATCGAAGGCTTAGGCTCATGGTTGACCGGGAGCCTTCCGATACTTCTTCTCCTAGAACGTCAACCACCGTATCCGTAGAGTTGATCCCAACCACTTCGAATAATGGTAATTCCAGTCGAGGCGCATCCAAGGGCAGGAAAGAAGTGACGTTTCCTGGCAGGGGAAGGGTTTCACTCGTCATGAACGTGTCGAAGGGGTACGTTAACTCTTCCTCCTTAATCTCGAATTTCTCTCTGGATTCTCAGGCTGAAGCGGATGGAATGGAGGCATACGACGAAGTACGCGACTCTTGGACTGCCAGGGGAACCTCTGGGCTTAGTAGGGCGTAAGGGAATCGTAGCCCGGGGATGATATCTCCTCGACCTGCCTCGGGACTGTGTGTCAGAGCGTATCTTTCGGGCAGCGAATCGACTTCCTCGAGAAGCCCGCTGCGCTTGGCAGCCTCCACCTTGGCATGAGCTTCTTTCGAAGCTGTGGTTCCTTCCGTCCATGTGAGTATATGTTCGTATTTGAATCGCACGACAAATCATCCGTCTTCTCCTAAGTAAGGGAGGATTGACGCTTCCCAAATCCGCCTCATCAGGAGCCAGGATCGCTTGGGTATGGGGATTGGTTGCCAATTCTCGATGTCCAAGTAGACGTGGGACTGAGGAGGGATGTAAAGGGGCGGAATAGCTCGAGGTAGGCGTAAGACGTTCTGTAGCCCCAAATCGGCCGCGCGTAAGTCATTGAGGAAGGGTCGTAAGTCCTTTACAGACTCGAGGTCTAACGGACCCGGACTTCGTTTGTTTGCTTCATAATAAAGGTTGAGTAAGTCACTATTGATACGTAGTAGACGCTTACAGTCTTCCGGTCTGTCCGCGCCCAAAACATAGGTAGGGCAATCGCACTTGATAGCTCTTCGGATGAAGAACCCATGAGACTTGTCCTTCGCGTTGAATACTGCGCCCCTCATCGGCAGTTTGGTGAGCTGGACGCGTCTAACGAATGCTGGCACTGCTGAGGAAAAGTTGGACGCCCAGTTCGAGCCTAGCATGACCCTCCACTGGTTGATGAACGCGAGCAATTCTCCCATGGCGATGATGGCCAATGATCGAACACTCCGAGCCTGCTCAGTGGATTGTACCGAAGAGAGGAGGATGTAGGTATTGAAATAGCGAGGTAGAGGTACTCCGGGGACAAAGGAAGGATGTGCCATAATAAAATTGATACAAGTGATCACGTCCTCGATATCGAGCTTGACTTCAGCGATCCAACTGGATTTAAAGGCGATACCATGCTTCTTCCTTCGTACCAATTCCAATGGTTGGTTGCCGGAGAGGTCGAACATCCAGGACCCTTTGTCCGAGTCTTCGGCAATACATCGAACACGATCGGTCTCTTCATTTCCTAAGGGTCCAGGTGAAGTCGGTCTACGTCGGCCAGAGATACGGGTTCCTCTGAGAATGAAGAGGAGACTGGATACTTGGAGTGGATTAAAGGTAAGGGATTGGTGTACTCTGGCGAGCAAAGGGGGGTGTGATATACTCGAATCTTGGGGACTTTGCAGATGATGAAGTTGTAAGGGATGGAGCCGTTCTCATCGGAAAGAAAGTATGAAGTCATGATTGAATAGAATTTCCTGTCTGTCAAAGGGGAGTTTCGCGTTGAGACGGTTCGCAGAGAACGAGAAGGGATAACCGCCCTTAAATAGGGTTTGACAACCAGCAATTCCCATCCTGGGGAGATTCGTGAGAACCCTTGAAATTTTCCCAGGGACTCGTTCAGCAAGATCGGATCCGAATGTCGTTCCCAGCGTTGGAGAGGTAGAAGAGAGACCGCTGGAACAGTTCGCCCTTCCAGATAGAGAGTGGTATCCGTGGGAGTTTGCACCGTGTTTCTAATTTAGTTACCGAAGCTTCTTATTTGATTTTCAAGATCTCGATTTCCTTGTCGAGATCTCGGACCCGTCATAGTTGATGATCCTTTTTGTACCTCCGAAGGATTTCCGGGGCGTTGCTTAAGTCAGAGCTTGGAGCCCAGGTATCGAACTGCGGGCAGTATTCCTTCCATCTAACAAGATATTCTACTCGTCCTCCCTTCCTACAATGGCCGACAATTCCTTCGACTTCATACTCTTCTTTTTCGGCGGTATTTCTGGTCTCTGGAAGCTTACTGCAAGGGTTCCACTTCTCTGGGCTTGTCTTGTATTCCTTCAGATGATCTATACTAAACACTGGGAATCCCGGATAGTTACTTCCCAGGTGTAATCGGTAGACTTTGGGATTAATTCTTTCCAGAACTTCAAATGGCCCCAACCACCGTTGAACGAGCTTTGAACCTTTGCCCTTGCTCTCTTTCCATTCGAGAGAGTGGGGGTTTACTAACACCAAGCTTCGGGGTTCGAATTCTGGGGCTGTCTTCCTTCCTCGGTTATAATATTTGGTTTGGGTTTCTTGAGCGCGTGCAATAGCATTCTGGGCGTTATCTCTGTGAATCTTAAGCAGCCTTATGAACTCTCCTGCTTCAGGACTTAGGGAATAGTGTTCCTGTTCTGGATCTAAGATGGGGGATAGTCTGGTTAGCGGAGACGAGGGTTGAAACCCTAAGAGAAGTTGGAATGGCGAGGTACCTCTAGAGGCGTGTACATGAGAATTGTACGCAAATTCTAGTAGGTGTAACCATTCTGACCAGGTACTTCGATCCTCTAAGACATAGGCTCATAACATCGTTTCTAAAGTCTTGTTTACTACCTCGGTTTGCCCATCGTGCTGAGGATGGTGCGATGAGGAAAGCGCCATCCTTGTCTTCAGGAATTTCGCTATACTTTTCCAGAAAGCCGAAGTCCAGCGGGGGTCGTGGTCAGATATAATGCTAGATGGTAGTCCGTACTTGGCGATGACTTTCTTGGTGAATAATCTAGCGAATCCATCGCATCCATCCCAGTTGTGGTAGGGATAAAATGAGTGTGCTCGGATAATCGGTCTACTACAACGAAAATGGCATTGTTTCCTTCTGACCACGGCAGATCGACTATCAAATCCATCGAAACGGATTCATAAGGCCTCGTGGGTATAGGATTCAGTATGAGCAGTCCATATTTGTTAAAGTTCGAATTTTTAGTCCTCTGACATGTATCGCAGGTCTTACAGAATTCTTCAATGTCCACTTTCATTCTTCGCCAGTAGAATTTCGAAGATAATTTGAACCATACTTGTTCCATCTGCAGGTGAGCTGTTTCCATTGGTGCTTCGTGGGCTTCCTGTAAGATTTCCTGACGAAGAATCTTAGGTACACAAAGACGGGGCTGGAAATCAGCGTTCATGAAATATAATAATTCATCCTCGCTTCTCATGAATTTCTGTCCCTGTGACCGTGAGTCTGATGATCTTTTTGGTATCCTTGAATGAATCTATATTTATATTTGGGACTCATGGATACATGAATCGAAGGTCGATTGGGATTCATTCCGGCCCATAACAACTCGTTCAGTCGATATTGTTGTTGATCAGCTTCTTTCCCATCCTCGTGGTTATTATTTAATTTTCCTGGTGCCTGGCTTACTGTGGGGTTTTGAGTGCTTTCTTGATCCGATTTTCTTTTTGATTTACTTGCTTGCTTGACTCCCCCCTAGCGTTCGAACTTCCACTGGTTTCTTTTCCGGTTCTCGTAGCCATGAAGGCTTCCAACATTGACCAGGCAGCTGCGACTTTTCATGCTGGAAGATCCCTCAGCGTATTTTCTTGTACTTCGGCTAAGTCATTGTTAGGTTTTAAGCTTTGCTCGTCTGGGTCCAATGGTGAATGATGGTTTGGCGGCGCTCTTGGTATTCCGGATAACGGATGAACGTTTGAGTGAACTCTCCCCAGCCGGTGTACCATCTCCAGAGAGGGAGCAAAGGCCGAGAATACCGTTCTCCAGGCTGCTAGTCTCCGGTTTGAATTTTCATACGTCTTGGCCCACTGTAGAGCGGAATGATTGGTGATTAGAGGTATTCTTTCCCCTCCTATGAAAGGTTGGAATCTCACCAATCCTTCTTTTGCAGCCAATGCTTCTCTTTCTGTAGCAGAATACCGTGTTTCTGGACCGCGGAATCGCCTTGAATAGTACCTGATCACTCATTCAACCCAGACTTGTGTATCCTCAAAGTTAGGTGCCCATTCTTGTAAATACTCAAAGGAATGCTTCGTGTTAATCTTCGTGTACAGTCGAGGGATTTCTGACTTCTGTTCCCATGCACTTTTCAAGGTCGTGTAAGCCTTCATGCTTCGAAGATCTTGGATCGCTATTTTTTTGAATTTGCTGAAGTGTACAACCACAAGCTTCGTCAGAGGCGTCAGTGTAGGGACGGTACGGTAGGCCTTCCTGTGCGTGCCCCAGTATAGGTGCCTCTTGTAGGGCTTTCTTTCCTGAGTTCCATGCCTGTTCCTGCTCCTTATTCCATTTCCAAATCGCGCCTTTCCTTAAGTTTTCGAATAATGGTCCCATCCTATCCGCAAAATAAGGGATAAATGGTTGAAAACACACGAGCATGCCTAGGAAAGTCTGCAATTCAGAGACTTTCGTTGGTCTATCTAATTCCAGTATGGCATTCACTTTTTCCCTGTGGGAAGTGAGCCCGAGATGCGATACCTTATGCCCTAAAAGGAGTATGGAAGAGTAGAAGAAGTGACATTTGGAAGGTGATAAAGTGATTCCACTTTCTTCCACCGCGCCCAAAACTTGATCTAGGTGTGTAATGTGTTCGTCGAATGTCTTTGAGTAGACGACTATATCTTCAATATAAACTAGTGCGAATAACCATAAATAGGGTGAGAGTATCCCCTGCATTACCCTCTGGAATATTGACGGACCGCTCCGTAATTCAAAGGGCATCCGCTTGAACTGGTATAATCCTCGATGAGATCGGAAGGCTGTTTTTTCGACATCTTCTTCGGCTAGCATCAGTTGCGTGAATCTCAACAACGCGTCGAGGCTGGATAGAACTTGGGATCCCGTTAATGCCGCTAGTATATCGGTCTGCCTAGAGATAGGAAATTCATCGGGGATCGTTAACGCATTTAGTCTCCGATAATCAACGCAGAAACGAGGTTTGCCGTTGCAGTAAGCAATGACAACCGGAGCGCCCCAAGGACTTTTAGAAGGTTTGATTATACCTTGCGCATACCACCCGTCTATTTGCCGGTCGATCACTTCCCTTTTTGCAGGAGAAGAGGCGTACATTGGTAAGCTCACCGGCTGAGCTTCCTCCATAGTTCGTATCCGTGCTTTAGCTGGGTAGTTCCCTAACCGACCATCAAATCCGAAGACTCCAATATGCTTCCTTAGCATAGACCACGCTTTATCTTTTAGTGTTTCTGGTAAGTTTCCTACGTCTAGAATTTCTTCTATTTTCTTGGAAGGGTAGGTCGTCGGATCAGGCATGCTAGACGTCTTTGGTCCTAATTCCTCATCTTCAGCTTCATTTGTTAGCTCGGGCGTCTTCTTCCATTCTTCGTCAATTATCCTCCTCATCAGTAAAGTGGTACGGTTCATCACTAATTCTTCTTCTTGATTCGCTGGTGATTGCAGACCTTCCGCCGCCCGTTGCACTGTTCCCAAGACGTCCCCCTTCCTGATATACCTTGGAGAGGAAGTAGTGTTAATGAGAGGTATCCGAGGATCGGTGGAAGCAAATATGACGTTCGGCACTGCAAAATAAGCAGTAGCAGAGTTGAAGATGAGGTTCCTTCCGATGAACCAGTCGTCTTGCTGTCCAAAAGGGCCTTCTATCGAAACCGATCTATAGCTTTCAGCAGGAATGAGTATGTCTTCCTGTGCACGCACTGTCCTATTTGCGACCTCTTCTTTCTTATTCCGTCTCTTTCTCCTATTTTTAGATCTTCTGTGATTCTTTGCTTTGACGAAACTTTGTATGGCGTGGACGCTAGCACGTAGGCGCTTGAAATCTTCTGGTTTTCCCACATTCACTGCCTTGACACTGAGATTGGGGTCGTCCCCATAAGAGATCGTGTTTCCTCTTTCCACGCTTCGTTTGGTCGTTGACTCATAGTTCAATTGGTAATCTTCCCCCAAGAGAATGCGGACTGACATCCCTGGTACAAGGTGCGCTTCTACTTCGGTTTCCATGAGGTCTCCTTTTTCAGTGGGGGCTATAATAGGGATTCGCACATATCCTTCTATTTTAGCGTCTTTATCCGTTAACTGCCATAGCTTAATTTTAGTTCCCTTACGAATGGCTGGAGGGTTATCTAGTGAGCGGTAGTAGTCCAAGGAGAGCAGGCTGATGTCGGCCCCCGAGTCTTGTCGGAGAAGAATGGGAGAGTTGGCTAAGCTACCTACCCATCCTTGGATGGCTAGTACTGAAATTCCGACTGCTGAGCTTCCTGTTTTTACAATTCGTTTTTTCGCTATTTTAATCGGTTTGCACTCTGATGGCGAGGGAAGGATACCTTTCAGCGATTCCTCCGTGCTGCGGGAAGTGGGATTTTCTGGGTCGGAGATTTCTCCTATTTCTATTCTCGACAGAGTATTGGAGTTACGCATTATGGCTAGAACTTCTACCGATTTGAAGGGTTCTACGCCTTGATATGCCGCCTCTTCAAAATCCGTCGGGACGGAGGATG